GTTCAAAGCCAATGTGTCAAAGGCCTTTATTTACTAGCTCGTAGAGCCACTCGACAAACAACCCCCTCAGCCACACCGCCTCCCACGCAGCATCACCACACTCTGTAGCCCATGCGCCAGCCTCTCATACCAGGATCTTCAAGCTTCAGAGCCAGTGATTTACAAATCCAAAATGTTCCACAAAGGCTGAAGCATGTCCAAGCAGGCTGGTTGGACCGTATGGGTCGGTCAAAGAGCCAATCTTGCCGAGTGACACAAGCACAAAACCCTATGAAATCATTATGAAGTAAATACCCTACTCCTTTCCCAAGTACGGGTGTGAAATCTGCGTGCAGTCCTGGCAATGCTTTCATCAGATCCGTCTGGATTATCAGGATTGGGACAGTCCTGGGCAGCGTAAAACTGGGTTCTTAGCACGAAGCATTGTACAAGTTACATCTAGGTTGAGCTGTCTTACAGAAGTTTCTGGACTGCTTCCCTGCTTCACATAAGCCTTTAACACATGCAAGAATTCACCCCCCTTGTCAGCCTCTCGCGTTGCTGGGTAGGGCCCTGCTGTCCATTTCCATGTCCTCCAGAAAGCCGAACCAGATCGGGATCATATGGATGGAAACGCATCTTGCTCAAACTACTTGCTAGTCTGAGTCTTTCGGCTGATCTATCATTCTGTCCATCCGGAAGAAGCAATTGCAAAGGAGGTTTCACGGTAAAAGTTGTATGCTGCAAATCATATCCTATGGCATCTGGCCCAAAAAACGTCGCAAAATGGCGCTTCTCCTCTTGGTGTTGGACATTTTCTCCAAGATCTTGGCTCGACTTTGGAGCTCTGCCTGCCATGCCAGGCACCGTCCAAACTCTCCAGCTTCAGGAGTAGGTGCAATGAATGCATATCGGAACCCTTTGTTTGTTTAATCCAAAAGTAAGAGATTGGGTGAGCGGCATGAGCTGTCGTGGAAGCTAGTCACAACCTCCATGCTTCGCTGAGAAATTTGAGACACCTGAATAGTCAAGCGAGCCGAGTCCGTGCTCCTGGAGCTTTCCCAGGTTTTGCGATTTGTCCAGCTCATGGATTCTAGATCTTGATAGAAAGTTAGGTCTCATGCAGGCCAATTCCGGGCGTGGACAAACACCATCAAAAAATCAAAGCAATTGTGCATGAAGCCAAGAAATGCCGAGAACTCATTTGCGTCAAGCAGACTGTTTCACAGCAAACTACAGTCTCTCTAAGTGTGCAGTTGCAAACTGGGCCGGATCCACCTGTGCAGGACACTTGCTAGCCGCTGCTTTCAGCGGTGCATCCAAGTCGGTCTCTTTCATGAAGGACTCGCCCTACAAAGCGTCACAGAAACACCAAGGCAGAACCAAATGCAAAGCAAACCGCAAAGCAGCTGCAAGTTCAGCGAATCTTCGGAAATCCTCAAGTACATCGCTCCAGTCGGCTCCATTTTTCAACTGTAAAAGAGGTTTTCCAGAGCTCAAAAGGGTTTCTCATCGCAACAAGCGGTCTTATCATCGCTGATCTCCACCTTTCTTTTCGACTTGCGTGGTGTTCTGGTCTTCAACTCCTTGGCCGGACCCCGTTGGACCAACTTCGCCAACTGCAAGTGACGCGATAAACAGGACAAGTTTAATTATGTTTATGTTGATTTATATATATATACATATTTACTGAATCTACTATTTTATTGAGACATAACTTCACACAATTTCACTGATCTGGTTGGAGATGAGCTGCCATAGGCAGCTTCGGCCCTTGTGGCTTAACGAGTTCCTTTGCTCGATGAGGCTTCTCACGTTGACGCTTCTTTGGTGTCTTTCGTGGACTACCTGAGAGGATTGAGAGGTTTGCTTCCAACATCCCTTTCAACTCCCAGGGGAGCAGTGTGTGGTTTTGTCAACCAAAGAAAACACACAACGATACACAAGCATAATAAGGAACATAGTGCATGGTGCTCGAGACAGCCAAGGAACGGCGAGTTAGAGGCCACAAAGCGAATGAGATTGGGATCGACATTGGCGCAGCAACCACATCTGCCTACAGAGTACACCATAGACATCTGACAATTAATTACTCAAAAGGGATACGCTCTGCATTGCATTTGGAATTCTTCTCTTGACGACGTGTGGGTCAGAACCTTGTACCCCTAACAAACATTGTTTGCATGGGCGTGCTCACCAAAGTTAGGATGTTTGAGGGAATCTAGAGTCTAGATTTTGGCCCACTTCCCACACCTCCACAGAAGTCCATGGAATTCTGTGGAAATGGTTCTTGTGGGCACCATTCTTGAGAGCCTTCGCTGACTTGGCTCCAAGGCGTAGCTTTGCCCGCGCGGGCGCCCAGCGTGGCTGGGACAGACCTTATGTCAAGTGCTTGAGGGCGGCTGGTGGCTGATGCTTTGAGATGGAGGCTTCCTTGATCTAAGGTCAACTTAGTCTCGCTGCCTTCCCAATGAAACATGCAAATCCAGCCATTTATGCTTGCCCAGTTGAGCAGGATGATCCCAATACTTTGGGCTCACGCCAAGTTTGGTTGCCCAAGCTCCAGATGACACAAGGGCCGACATAAGTCATGGACTCCATGGACCCAAGCAGGTCTTCCCGTTTTTGCTTTTGAGATCTTTTGAGTTGCTGGACTTCCAGATACAGTATCCTGTTGGCCAATGGCAACCAACAGTCTGGCAAACAGTCTTACAATCTGGCAAACTGGCAAGAACTGTTTCGGGCTGTGCGAATATATCTTTCCAGGTCAAGCAGAAATACCCCAGAGATTCATTCGTTTAGCAAGTTGTTGCTTTGCATTATGCCGGTATCGTTGAGGTCCTGCTGATTCAGTGATTCCCATGAAGCCTGGAAAATGGAAGACGGCCGCGAATAAAAAGCGAACACCGTCGGGCTATTCTGCCATTTTGGTTGACTTTCCACACTATCTTACGGCTGAAAGGGAATGCCATGGAATGCTCCTCAAGTGCGAAGAACCCACTTGGCAGCTGAATCACCTAGAACAGCGCAGCTGTTACAGGGGCAAGAAAGCGGCCGGAAAACCTGTGGACCAGCTGGGATGAGTTGCTTGTCAACTCAGCTGCTGTGCAAAAGGGAGATGAAGCAAAATCTGGGTGGGCCAATACTATCAAATGATACCCAACCTGCAAATGTGTCTAGAGTCTAGTCTACGAAACATGAAGCACAAACTATCTCCCAAGTTTGCAGTGGTCACAGGGCAGCCGCAAAGAACTGAAAATTTTCTCGTGGCCTGTACACAAGGAGCCAATTAACTCTGAGTTGTCCAAAGAGTTCATTTGTACAACAAAGGTTGGCGACTCAGAAAACCACACAGGAAGCCTTTCCGAGCCTAGTGAGGAGCGAACATGAAAAAAACATGAAAGGTCGGCTTCACAGGTTGACCGGTTGACCTAAATCCTCATTGCATTGACACATCCGGTGGTTTGGCAGAGTATCTGCCTGAAGTAGAAACACTGATATCACTGATATCTGATATATATATACTTACTTTATCTTTCTAATGGGTCAACAAAGGAAATATCAAGCAAAGACACTGGTTCCAAGATCCGTCGGGTAAACGGTGTTGGAGCTGGTCTCATCATTCGGCCACCTGCCCCAACCGGCAAGATCAGCAAACTTCAGCTTTCAGGTAAACAAGTCAACTGTTTATATAGTCGTAATGTGTGGTCATATTATGAGCTCCGTGTTCTAGCCCTTGAAAAAGTGTCTGTACGCTCAAGCATCCCGCAATTGACCAATCCAATAAACATGATAAAATCTTTGGTGGCTGGGGTTGACGCGGGCTGATATTAGCAGCTCTGGGCCTGGGATGTTGAGCATGGCATACCCAGCTAAGCCTTTGAATGCAAGAGGCTTGACAGCTTGACAGCAGAACACAGCACAAGCTTGGTAATGTGCCTTGGCCATTGAAGTAGATGGGCACTGATGGGCATCAACTATTGTGCTGATGCATACTGAAATCACAGTCCACGTCCAAGCTTAATAAAGAGGCGATCAAACGAACAACTTGCTGTTAGAAAGCTGGGCCAGTGTTAGCCCTGAAGCCAGTTGGTGGTTCATTGGAACGTCTTATTCGGTCAAAGCTCTGAGTGGCCCGAGTGTGCTTTGAGGCAACAATGCCTTGCTGCTTCAAGTAGCTTAAAGTCCCGAGCGACCTCACGGCTGTTGAACCTGACAGAATACTCATTGCGGATACACACAAAGCTGTAAAGACCAAAGCAGTACTGCAACCCAGTGCAAATACTCAAGCACCATCCCTTTCAGATTCATAAGCATTCTTGTTTAATTTGGAGTACCTGAGCTCGCCCAAACCGCCTCTGCAAGCCAAAGTCCCTCCCCCCAGCTCCAACCTCGTCCTCTTCTGGATCAGCCGCCTGCAAGTGTGTCGTCCTGGCGTAGCAGGCATCAGATGAGCCGTGTAAAAAGCCATGTGGGTCCCCCTAGTCTAGCGTGTTTGATTGGCTTTGGTAGGTATAGACCCTTACTATTCAATAATTTTTGTATAGACCCTTACCTTGGTCGCCCCACCCCCACCTCTTAATGTTAGTGGATATGTCAGGATTATTCTGTCAAGTGGACCAATTCAATCAAACCCGATGTGAGCGAAAGTCATACCACCGCACATTAAAATTATATGGTGGCAACAGGCTGGATAGAAAGATGTTTGTTCGGGGTTGATTGATTTGTGCGTCTACTGTAGGTACAGGTTTACACAAGGGCTCTCAAAACACTCAACAATGATGAGTCGGGCTCCTTGTTATTGTGATTGCTCATGCGTCAGCGAGTTGCATTACAAATGCGTGAGGTTGCGTAAATATGTTCAAAATCAAACCAAACACATGGAGAATCTGACGTTGCCAGGCCTTTGGGCCTTTGCCCCACCGTCGCTGCTTGCGTTCATCCGGTTCCGTGTTCAGGGTCCTTGGACTGAAAACTCCACAAAACTGTTCAGAACAGACTTCATTTTGTGTGTATACCGTCTACATTGCATGGAACAGTCTGTTTCGAGAACCATGTACTACACCTGCTCCAGTGCCACCAAGCAACGCTACCTCTGCTCGCTTGCCCCTGCCCTTGCTTAGACTGGAGCACATTGGGCCCGGATCACCTGTCGTAGATAGAACATTGCAAAGACAAAATGGGAAAGTCACCGTGTGTTAGGATTTTCCCCTGTTTCTGTCAACTTGAGGAGGACAAAAGAACATGTAAAGTCTATCAAGCAAATTCACTGACCACATACAAGCATGCATGCTGAACCAGTATAGCATGCATACGACCATAATGTCCAGGACTTCAATAAATCATTAGTTGCAAATTCAGGCGTGATTTGTCTTTCCAAGTTTCAGAGCTCCCCAACTCACTCTCAGTCTCAGTGTTGCGCAGCATTTCTGAGGACCCCTGCTGGTAGCACACCCAAACTTTTCAGGAAGAACCTGACCATTCAAAGCTGCCTTGAACCGTGCCAGATTTTCCTGCAGCTCTTGGCAGGTGAACAGCAGGCCGGCTCTGAAATTAATAAAAATCGAGCTTCCCTTCAACCCACAACCGCACACAAAACCCTCACAACCCTTGATGCATCGGTGTCCTCTCGAGCTAGCTTGTGATCCACAATAGGCTTTGGGTAGTCCTGCAGCCGTGATGAGTATTCCAGCATAGCCAAGCTGCTGAGCTAAAGTACAAACCTAGAGTCCAGAGTAACCTAGAGTGTGTGGATTTATCCTGAAAGATTATAGAATATTACTATTCTCCCTCTTCTTCTTCTCATTCTCCCTCTTCTTCTTCTTCTTCCTCTTCTTCTTCTTCCTCCTCTTCTTCTTCTTCCGATTCCTCTTCTTACCTCTTCTTATTCTGATGCCCTATGCTCAAAGTTCCTTTGGCCAGCCCACAAAGTGTAGACTAGACATCGAAACCTCCCGTCGTCTGTGGCTTCCTGCATGCAATATTGCTACCTCCGAAGATCTCTGAAGGCAAATATGTGGCAGCTTCGCAGATGGTCCTATTGCCCCAAGTGTTCTATGAAACATAACATGTCGATCTGAGCTGATTGATCAGACTCTCATGCCACGCTGAATTCATGTGATGTGACTCTTTTCTTGTTGGCTTAGTTTGTTGCGGGGTGAGCCCCGGTGTAGGAGAAAGAGGAAAGCAAGAGAATCAGCCACTTTCGTACAAGTAGCTAACAAGAAGCTACTAGAGACTGTACGCAAAAGAATCCTCCGCATGATTCTTTTGGTTCCTAGAATTTTGGTCTATTTAAGTCTCTTTATATCCTTCTATACTCTTTATTGTTTCTTTATGTCTTTCTTTCCTATTATTTTTTTGGAGGGTTATATAGAAGTCTGATATTAGACCTGGGCTAATTGCATCACATCTCAGCATATATATATAATTCACAGTACTCCCTGGCAGTTCCGGCTCCTGACCAATGATGCAGCCAGCTTTCTTCTGCTCCGCCAACGGTGCAGTCCACGGCTTGTCTTGGCAGTTTTCTATACTTAGCAACGTGTAGAAGCCTTCACAATCACAAAATCATGCAAGGAAGATCAAGTAGTTATTATGTACCACTGTTTCAACAAATTGTGATTTGTAACAAAACAAAATGCAGATAGAAGCAACACCATCAAACACCAGTGCAGACTTGGCACACAAATATTTTGAAGGCATCCCCTTGAGCTCTGGGACCTGACATTCGCACTGGGCCGTGTGTCAAGTGGAGACCAGTGACATGTTGGGTTGATGCCTTCATAATCGGTTTTTACGTCTTCAAGTGTTCAGCAGCTTTCAAGAGATTTTCACATGTTGTCACTAAGCACTTGGCGTAATGCTTCACAAATTCGCCGGTCTGCTCTGCATTGAGGCTGGAGTTAGGTCCAGGACATGGGTCCTTGGAGGGAGTTTGACCATGTATTTCAAGGGGTAAGCAAACGCGCAGCCTTAAGCAACAAGGAAACTGCTCGGCACAAATCGATACGAAGGCTAGTTAGAGACATGTCATAACTAATAACATCTTTGTCGGGCCAGACTCAGGGCATCGCGTGGAAAAAAATACAAGGCAAATTTGTCTTTCCAGCAAATCCAAGAATCATCCTTGAAACTCTTACAATGCAGCTGTTCCTTTCCACATTCTATTGGGTTCTAACGCTTGTGGTTAAAGTCTTGCAAAAACGCCGTGTGCAAGGCCGCCAAGCGGCATAGATTCTGAAGTATGGCGCCGAAAAGGGCGCCACACCTTCAAATCAGGCAGGTTTTGACGAGCAACGATTTCATCCATGGCAACCCACAGCCAGTTTCAGTCTGGCGATGGATCTGAACCACTTTGAAAACTGCTTTAATGACACTTGTTGAAGAATAGACATTGTTGAAGGATTTTGAAGGCCAGTCTTGCTGACAGATTCACCACTTGTGGCACTCCTGACAAAGGGTCACCGATTGATTCCTCGCTCTCCCAGGAAGCACTGCATATTCATAAGCTGCTAAGGCCGGGATGGTGCTTTGATGCTGGTTCCTATCGCCGTTCACTCCAGCCTGCCAGCCACAACCAATTGCCTTGAAGTGCGGTTCAAATCATGACAAAGAACTGCAACAACTGAACAAATTAATACACATTATATATACATAATTATAAATAATGTATAAATATATAGACTGGCATCAAACCTCCTGCAGCACTAGCATTGAATCATTGGCTCAAGTACTAAAGCTTCAGAAATAGCTGGATCCGCCTGAGTTGCGAAACATGTCCTAACAGCCCAAGACGCCATTGTTCAGCGCCCAGTCTGCATCCAACAGGAGCTTGTCGAAGACATCTCGGCCACAAGTCCAGCTTTGCCACAAGTCGCCTGAGACCACGGCGTTGAAACAAACAACATCAAGTTGCTTTGAAACATCGAATAACTATGTGTTTTGATGTGTTGAAAACTCTGACACGAGAAAGGTGTTCTGTTTGCTTTGCTATATCCGGCCATGTCCCCCACCTCGGGTCAAGAAGCAAGCAACAGCGTGTCGGCCCAAGTGGTGCATGTAGCCTGATGTATGTGATTTGTGTCAGCAACAAACACCAATCCTCTTCGGCTTGAAAGCCAACTACGCTAGCTTTATCTGGTGTGTCTGCTGTTACCTTCTTTGCATTTGTTACATCGTTTGTGCCGGCGTTGAACGGCTTGGAAAGAATGCCTTGAAGCAAATAAATTTGACTTGATGAATTCAGCACTAGACTATATAAACCATTCATTCAGCCGTCCAAACCAATCTGCCCGTCTGATTTGGCCCAGCTTGCTCCGACTTGCTCCGACCTGTCTGATTCAACTGCCGCATCAAGGCATCGATGAAAGGATAGCCTGTCCTCCCCTCCTGCAACGATGATCATTGTGGCCCATTTGTGAATTGATTGACTTGTTTACCGGCAATGTTCTTATCACAAGCATGGGCTGGTCCTGCCAAGCTTGAAGAAAGACGGGGTTGTCTCCCCAAGGTATCGGCTTACACATCGAGTTCCTTGGGTGTAAATAATTTTCAAGGCGACACAATATCGCAAATCTGTCTTGGGAAGGTGAATACCATCTCAAGCCAAACATGCCACCAGACTAAACAGCTCAAGTTCTTTGGGCGGCGGCACAATTTGCTAAGTTCTCCAATGAGGTACCCCTCATTCCGGTCGAAGTTGGGCACGGATGCGCCCAGGAGGTAAAACATTTCTCGGAAAAGCATCCTTAGAGCAGAAATTTGGTCACGTCTTCCAATTGAAGATGCCAACGCATTCTTGAGTGGATGCCATGTTGAAAGAATTGAAGCCTGCTTGCGATTCATGTTTGCATGTCTATATTGATATATATATATATAGTGTTTAGTTTGTTTTTGGCAAAATGAAAAACATGAACTTCCGGAAGAGTGCACTCTGCAGTTGTGTTTTGCACTCATGCAAGCTTTAGTTTGGATTGTTGCTATTGGCGTTAATTTGTGTGAGTGGGACCGTTCTTCGTGGGAGTGCCCACATGTTGGTGAAGTCTTGGTGCGCTGAATCCTCGAAATCTATAGGATGAGGTCAAGCACGGTGTTCATCGTTTTTCTATTTCGGCATCATGATTTCATAGTGGCAGCAGAACAGTCTTTTTGTCTTATACAAGTCTCAAAAGTGCCAAGTCTCTGCCCATGCAGGGATTGCGGAGGCTCAGAGTGCCTCTTTCCCCGGATGCATTGGTCGATGGCATGCCATGCAGTGCGAACGGAGAGGCAGCCAAACTTCAAGTACGGCGAGAGACCTGGCGGCTCACGGAACAAGTGTTCACTTGGCAAGTATTCTTGTACTGGCTCTGCTACTAGGAGCAAGGACGCTACTAGGGGCTCCTGGCATCGCTACTAGGAGCAAGGACGCTACTAGGGGCTCCTGGCCCTACGACTAGGAGCAAGGACGCAAACATGAAACTCCTTTCAGTAAACTAAAACCGCTGTCAGGTGATAGAATCTTCAGCAACCATCATCTGCCTGTTGGTAGACTGTACAAATCATTTCTTCCAGCGTTACAATCTGTAAAACCAATCCTGGTTTTGCCCACTTCCTGGAAAGAATGCATTGTTCCTGCGGGCGATGTTTGTTTGAAGATTCCATGCAATACATAGAATTCCAACTGATATCATCCCTCCCACCTCTGAGGAAGCATCCCAAGCCAAAACAATCCCAGACATCCCTCCAGCCTGTAGTAGAGGGCTCCCAGGGACATCCAGGCCGGCCAGTGGAGGCTGTTTTGGGCTTCTCAAACTGGCAAACCTCATCCAGATTGTTTCGCAGAACAATAAAGCAAAAGAAACCATCTCATCCAACACATGCCTTGAACTGACAAACAGTACTCTGATGTTCTCTGCGACCAAAAAAGCAAGGAAATAAACCAGCAGCATCGAACACCCAAGTCTTGTTCGCCTTTCACTCTCAGGTCGTGGCATAGTCGGCATCTGCACAAACATGACGAAGTCGGCTCAAAGCCTCTTGCTCACCACCTGGTCGGGCGTTCCACACAGTATGTTGTCGGCAAACAAACAGCTCTATTATGCTTTATTAAATGTAGTGAGGCAACTGGCAATAACTCCCTGAATCACTCTACAACATTCTAGAACTACGGCTCCACTTCACCAGGATCACTCCACTGGCTGAGTTGGCAGGTCGTGCCTGGGAAGCCGGTGCTTGTTGGAACCTCACTGTAGATGTTGGAAATCTTTGGTACCTCGAATCCTGTGAAGGAGATGCTTGCAAGTCCAGGGTTCAAACAAGTCTACTTCAAACATCTTCTACCAAAGCTTATACTGACGACCTCTTGAATGCTCTTTAGATCTTGCGGGATAAGGCACAAAAGGCCAATCTTGCGCAGGAGCGTCATGCCACGGCTTGGGTGCATCTCCCAGTTGTAATTATACTACTAGGAGCATTCTTACTACTAGTAACAAGACGCTACTAGGGGCTCCTGGCCTTCCTACTAGGAACAAAGACGCTACTAGGAGTTTTTCTTTTATAGTTCATAACGACTTTAGCTCAGTCATACGTGTTGGCCAACAATGATCGGAAGTGTTCACCGAGTTCCCCGGAAGTCCTTCTATGTTCAACGGAGGAATCTTCGGGATGTCGAAAGGTTTTCGGATGGGGCCAGCAGCGGTCATGATCTAAGCCAACCAAACAATTGACTCAAATAACAAAGCCAAGCATATAATAAGTATCAAAAGCATGTTGGCAGGTGCCCGCGCTGGGCAGCTCGTTGGCATGACTTGCATTCTGCAAACACTTGCTGCCCAAGGTCGCTTTGCATGCTTTTCATTGAAATGGGCGGTTTGAATTTTGGATTGGCCACTGTGGCATCAATGTCGAGCAATGTGTGCCCTGAAAAGCTCTCCTTGGCTGAGCAGAGCCAGCGAAAAGTGCTCTGCAGACAGCAAGCAAAACTAAACCTGATTTGCGCGCCCTGTTCCCAATCTGGAAATGATATGTTACTTCGATATACTTCGAGTCCAAGAAACAATCGACACTCTGTGCTCCTCAAGTTTGCCGGGCATGAAAGACAAATCATGCGACACATGTTCCGGCAGGCAAATCTGGCCCGGCTTGAGAATGTGCAGGTTGCACATATGTCTCAATACATACATTTGCAGTCTAGATCTTCCTGAATCATTTGGTACTGAGTACTGGAGAAAGGCCCTGAATGAATGTAAAACATGTCTGAAACCGCTAACCTTGGCCAGGCATTCCACTTGGACATCTCGAGAGCGGGCATAAGGCTCTGTGTCTTTCTCGAAATACAATCGAGACAAGCGCACACCTGCCTCTGGGCTCGCAGCACACAGGTTTGGTGTGGTGGTTGAGTATCAAACTATTCAATAGCTTGTCTCGGCACTGACATGTTGCAAAAGCTTTGTATCTATCTGAACAGAGATCACCTCAGGAAAGTTCCATTGTAATCTCTTTGTAAGTCTGGTAAGGATCCTACAAATAGTCTAAGAACACAAAATGATGCAGAAGATGTGTTCCAGTACCATGCAAAGGGCATGAAACTGTGGAACCCACACAAGTAGAACAACTGCTTGAACATGCAATAAACACATGCAAAAGCATAGTAGTTACTAGTTGATCATCATATCCGGCATATCTTGCACCATCTTGCCTTGCCATTGAATAGATCTGCAAGAACTTCGTGTGGACGACCTTGACGACAAGCGATGCAAAGCAGTGTGCAAAACTGATCGCCTGGTTGAACATTGCAAACACCTAGACCACAAAAGACCACATACCCAAGTGGAATTGTCGCAGTGAAAATGAAGCCAAGGTATTCCTGTTGGTGACTTGTCCTTGGTTTGTTTTGAGTTTTGTTCTTTCCCTCTTGGTGATTCATTGAGATTTTGGAGCCCATGACAATTTGAGCCTTGTGCTGGTTGTGCTGTGCATTCGTGTAGTTATTATACTGGTAGTTCCCTTTCAGGCAAAGTCTGAATCGCACACACGGATGCGCAGTCCGGCATAGGCATGTTGGTGGCACCAGTATCTAGTGCACGCGACTGCTTCTGTGGCCGAAGCAGCACGCCCTATAACCGCACGTGAGTTGACGAATGCTCAATAGTGGCTACCCTTTAGAATGTTTGCTCAAGAAATCGGTAGACTTTGAGCTTGGGCCCATTAACGAATTGTCAAAACCGCCGAAATCACCCACCAAACCTCCAAAAACCGGATTCTGCAGATCGCCAAAGGCCGACAGCAAGGGGAGGAGGAAGTGGGGTAGCAAAAGAATACTTAGCAACATCATGCAAAGGAGCAGAAGAACAGGTGCACACACAGTCTATGGCTGCGTAAGAATTCCGGATGTGAACAACAAGCACTTTCTTCCTCGAGGTGTTATTCCTTCCCCAACTCTGACATTAGCAACAGCTGTTTTTGTGCAGATAATTGGCTGCGTGCCTTTAGCAAGAAACTCCAGAATTGTAAGTGGGACGAGGTTTGTCCAGGTTTCTCTTGAGGGTAATTGTTCTTGTGCAGTTTCACATCTCCTTCTTTGTATTTAGGGAGTGTTTGACTGCTGTTAAACAAAACCCGGAAAAAAGCACTGGAAAGCTACAAAAACAACAACCATCAGCAAACAAGTTCTTAAATCCAGCATCAGAGCATCGTTGTCACAAACAAGCCGAACTATGCAGCTGATGCGTGAGCAACAAGAAAGCATAACAAGCATCATGCAACAAGGCTCGCTCATGTGGTTTGATTTAGCTTATGCCACTTCACGACTGCATGGAAGGTGGCCCTCAGATTTAAGAACCAGAGCCGACCTACTCATGTCTTGAGGACTTGGGGCCAGACCTTGAAACACCAAGAGCCGGCTTCCTCGAAGGCGCAGCTGGGCATCTAAGTCCTCAGGTCTTGACAGTTAAAGCCACCATGCAGGAGCACACGTGTTTATTTTTTGCGTGTTTTTTGTTTGGGGGGAAGGCCGCGAGAAGAGGTAGCTAGTAGCTCAAGTAAGCTACTACCTAGGACGCAGGATAGCTCACGCTATTCATTTGACAAATCATTTGACTAGATGTTGAGGGAAACTTAGCAAATGCCCAGAGGCCAAATCTACTTGCTAGTCTTCCACGGGTGGATTTCGGATACTAGCTACAGTGTTGTTTCTTGGACATGTGGCATCTTTTGGCTTTCCAGTGTTTGTTACTTTGATGCTTTACGCCGTCCTGCAAACTCTGGAGCAAAAAGGCAAACCTCAGGAGTTAAAATGTAGAATCGCTTGGATCTCTTCACAGTTGTGCTCTTGCAAATGCCATCCTCGACCATCAAACCACCAAGCCTTATTGAGAGCCTGGCCTGTTCACCCCTACTGCACTTCTATTGAAGTGCGGGTCTAGGATGAAAAAGGGTACCACCTCGCTGAAGGCGCAGGCCTCACAATCATTACTGAAAGCAGCTATGAAAAGCTTCCCTGAACTGAATAGATTCATGCCAACAAAAGTCACTCACCTTGACCAGTGCTTCGTTGTCATGGAGCCGAAGGCATTTCCGAAACCAGACCCCAGCAGCCCCAGAGGATGCTGCCATTGGGCAATGCAGCACTGAACCTCCAACACTCAGTGTTGGTACGATCTGCTAGAAGAGATGCTTGCTCCATGGGTTCGATGTTCTACAGCCATGGAAGAAACAAACTGTGCAAGTCATTGTCATTGAGTTTTGGCAGACTGCGTACTGGAGGGAGTGAACATCTCAGTGGAAGTGTCTATTACTTGGCCATTACTTGGTGGTGTCTCAAAATATGGGACCCCCAACTTTTGCGTGTTGGAAGCTCTCCTTCTTTCCTGCGAGCAAGGTGATTGGGGAGGGAGAATGCTTCACCCCGTCCGTTTTGCTCTGGGGTGGTGTGCACGTTTGTATTGCATGTATTTTGTCGTTTCGGTCATACATACCCTCGAGGGAGGGGAAGTGTGCGCGAGTTTGTGTGGGAGGGAAAATGCTTTATTCTTACATACTTCTTGCTACACTTGGCCTCCCTTGAAGCTTTGCAACGCTGCAGAGGTAAGACATACACGCAGCTGATGTTTAAAAGAAAGGCTTCCCCCAACCAGTGAGTTCCTATTGATACGCACCTATATGGACGCTGCAAATCCACAGGTCTACCAATAACATTCTCCGAAGAGCCTGCTTGATAGGCATAGGCACTTTGCACACTACAGCTCATGTGGAGATGCCCCACATCACTTGGTTCCTTCTACTCGCTCTGAATGGAGGATGTTTGCCTCACGATCTTGGCCATGCCCCACATTCTTCAGAGGTTCCCTTTAAGGGACCCCCACCTCTGCTTGGCACTTTATAGTGGCCTTAAAATCGCAACAAAAAAGCTTTGTACAAAAAGGTCAGCCGCGTGACCACATCAAAATCAAAAACTCAGATTCAGCGTCTCAGCATGGATAAAGCCCTGTCGATCTCCGATTCCATGTTTGTGCTAGCCGCGCCAAATGCAGAGAAAACCATTGGCAATGCTTTTGCATTCTTATCCATGGTTGGCCACAAAATGATATCCTCCCACAGGGTTCTTGCAATCTGCATTATATTATATATATTCAATTACTGTTGGATTGAGCAAAGGAGCAGATGGAGTCGTGGAATGTGGAAGCAGGACTTTTAGGTATGCTTCTACAAACATGGTTGGAACGGACGGACACAACGGAAAATGTGACGGCTTCCCGTTGTGAGTTCACGCAAAAAAGGAAAATGGATGGAGTCGTGGTATGGTAGATCATTGTTGAGCGGTCCTGATTCCAACACATGGAGATATCAAAATCCTCATCCCTCTTGTGCCACAAGGAGTCAGGACCTTGCGGTTGGACCTCATCCATTGGCTCATCAGGCTCTTCGCCTGGGCAAACCCAACGCTTCGAACCAATGCAACCAACCAACTGGAAAATCCTTTGGCGGAATCCGCTCACTCTGCTTGCTATCCAGGCTGCTACTGCGCGCTTTGCGGAAATGGCGGGGCAAACGTGATTCCAGAAGTGCCAAGACCCAAAGCATTTTGTATTTGGACGGCGCAGACTGTTGTGCGCTGTTGCCGTAGATGTTCAAAAAGCCTTGGGCCAAGAACAAACAGTTTTTCGAAGGGTGTGAGTTTGTGATGTACGCTTTCTAATGTTTTTTGGGTAAGTGACCAACTGAGCACCAACTTGCCTGCATTCATGAAGCAACTGAAGCAAAACCGTAGACACTGAGACGCGCGTAGTCTCGCTTCACTCGAAGTTAAAGTCTATGTGTCTGACTCTGCGTCAATACGTGCCCAACAACACGATGTCCCCAATGGAAGAACGATAGCAGAGTCTTTTTAACATGGTTTTTGCAGCGTTTTCGGGTGTGCCTGAGATATTGTCGTCTCATCTGTCCTTTAGTTCGATCAGTTTCACTTTCGACCAACCAATCACACCAAGAACGATAAGTGATCAACACTGTCTGCAAAGCGAATTGAGAAATCCAAGCGTCTAAAGTCCGAGGGCTCACTATAAAATAGTTTCAAATCCCCGCAACAACCACAACAACAACAACAATCACCACCTCCCAAACAACAAACTTTGTACGCGCTGAGCCATTCATGCTGCGATCCATGACATTCGGCCACCACATGACATGGTGTTTCAGATTCCCAACAAGAAAACAGGCCTCTAACATGAGTAACAACCAATTCTAATAAATATATCGTGTGTCTATGTCGTGCCACCGACTTGCATATGAGCATGCAGCTGTATAGGGAGTCACACTTTGATGGCATCCCGCCTCTGCACAGATTGATGGAGACGGGGTACCACTAAGACCGTACCGGAGACCTATGTTTTGAGCGTGGATGCCATCAAAGTGTGCTGCGTTGTGACTCTGCAGTTTGAGGATTCCGTCGCCCACATATGAACAGCTCCTTTTCGTGAATACTGAGCTGTTGCTGAACCATTCAGACTCAGGACATCCTTCCATCCAAATGGATACAAAATAACAACATCAACATACAGTACATATAATCCGCCGACCCCTGCTTAGCCCTTGCCTAAGCGGGGCGGCGCCAGGGACACCGGAGGGTGGAACGGGTGGCCAGTGCAAACGCAAGCCCCAGCATGCCACGTTAAGCAGCCACCCCCGCCTTCAAAGCCCTACTGCGTCGGCATCACTCCTGCACTGGCCAAACAAAGGCCGCAGCTTGGCTCAGAAAGCTTTTTCTATGCCGCAGCTTGGCCCAGAAAGCTTTTTCTTGGGCTTCCGAAGGCAACGTTAGAGACCCACGGGCCCCGCCCCCAAACCCCTCTCGGCAGCTGGCAGGCCTGCCTCCGTTCCTGCAGGCCGCAGCTTGGCTCAGAAAGCTTTTTCTATGGGCTTCCGAAGGCAACGTTAGAGACCCAC